ACTCGAGGTCCTCAAGAGAGACCAGACAACTTCAACAACACACATAAATCACATCAGTTCAGTCAAAGTTGCATTAAAAGCCGAGGACAAGTCACAGTTATTTAATGCCAAAAACTCCTCATATAGCCCTCAGAAAAAGGAACCATCAAAGGCAGAAGCAGAAGAAAGAGTTTCCATGGTAAAAACTCGGGACAATTTTAAAGTCTACAATGAAGAGGTTTCATTTCTATCAGCCAATCCAAATAATTACTCAAGAAACCCAACACAGTCTTTGGAGCCCAATGTAGGGCCCAAACAACCTAAACACATTAACAACAAACCATCTTCATCTCTAGGTGATGCACAAGAGGAAAAGAGGTATCTCACAGGTAACGAAGAGGTATATGGACATTCCCACATTCCTGAACAGCTTATGCACATCTACAGCCAGCCCATCGCCATCCTTCAAACATCTGACCTTTTCTCCACTCCAGAGCAGTTACATACTGCTAAGTCAGCTACTTTGCCAAGAAAGGGACAGTTAGTCTATGGCCAATTGATGGAACCAGTTAGTAGAGAGAACTTTACACAGACGTTGCCCAAAATGCCAGTGCATTCTCACACACAGCCCCCAGATGCGAGGGAAGAGAATATTCCACTCGAAGGTCAACAGAGCCTGCCATCCCAAACTTCAGACTGGAGCCGGTATTCAAACAGCTTACTAGAATCTGTTTCCGTTCCTGGAACACTAAATGAAGCTGTTGTAATGACTCCCTTTTCCTCAGAGCTTCAAGGAATTTCAGAACAGACCCTCCTGGAGTTGTCCAAAGGAAAGCCTTCCCCCCATCCTAGAGCATGGTTTGTATCTCTTGATGGAAAACCAGTCGCACAAGTGAGACATTCCTTCATAGACCTGAAAAAGGGCAAGAGAGCCCAGAGCAATGACACGAGTTTGGACTCTGGGGTGGACATGAATGAGCACCACTCAAGTAGAAAACTTGAGAGGGAGAAAACTTTCATCAAAAGCATGCATCAGCCTAAGATCCTTTACTTAGAAGATTTAGACCTGAGCAGCAGTGAGAGTGGAACCACTGTCTGCTCCCCTGAGGACCCAGCTTTAAGACACATTCTAGATGGAGGGAGTGGAGCTATCATGGAACACCCTGGGGAAGAGTCTCCAGGAAGAAAAAGCACTGTTGAAGATTTTGAAGCCAATATGTCCCCCACTAAAAAAAGGGGCAGACCACCACTAGCCAAAAAAGATAGCAAGACTAATATCTGGAAGAAGCGAGAAGAACGTCCACTGATTCCCATAAATTAACATCAAGGGTGGTTGTGTCTCTGCTCTCTCGTGTTGTTTATTCTTGCTTCGTGTAAATTGCTGTATGAACTTTCTAAGAAGTTGAGACTGAGCAATCTCATGGTCCCTGGACATGTCTCAAGCAGAGTAAATAGTAAAATGGCAATTCACTAACAAAAGAGAAAGATACCAAGGAATGCTTTTTCTGGCCTATTCTTTTCATTTATTTTTGGGTGATGAATTTGAAGTATCCAAGAGTTCAAAATGTAAAATAGTTTCAAGATGTAAGTTATCTGAAAATGCTCAGCCACTTTAGCCCTCTCTAAAGAACAACTGTGAAATGTGTACTCCTAAAGTTGCTTTCAAAAAATGTTGCTTCTGCTTTGATGACTGCCCCTGTGAAATATTTAGGAATGAAACTGTATCCTTCAGGCATCATAGTCTTGTGAAATGTTACTATTATGTTCTTCTCTGCCTTTCCCTGAAAATAAGGACAAATATTGGGAATTGATGTTATTCTAGAACATAAAGGCCAAACAATATTTTCTTTTTTTTGCAGTCAACAGCATGTGTACTGTGTCAACCCAAAAATAAATCTTACTTTTAAGATGGGCAAGAAGCTACTTGGTGGTTAGAGAGGAAAATGCCAGCTCTTTGGTTGTTTTTAGATATAACCTCACAGAATAATAAGGTGTTAATTTGTTATTTAGAAATATGGAAAATGAATGCTCTGATACTTTCATTTTTATTTAAAAAAATTTCCCCCTGTTTCTAAAGAGAAATGAGCTTAGCTGTCAAGGAAAACTTCTTACCAGTCTGAACATAAAACAAAACAAAAAAACAACCCATATCTTTAGTTTAAGACTCATTGATACATGTAGGCAGCTTTAAGATATTTTTTTAATTCATTCACTTAAACCTTTTAAACTTGGTTAAAAAATTAAGTTTCTTATGAACACCTACATATTAACTTATTAAAATATTTAATTTTTTTCTGAAATGTTGATAAACAGGAGAAGAAATTCTATTTCCCTAAGACTCAAAAATATCTCCAGAATTTAGGTATATATCCACATGGTCTCTTCTTAAATCACTTATAGAATTTACAGTTCTTCTTCTAGTTTTGGAAGTAATATATCCATATTATTTTCATCATAGCAAAGAGTTCAGTATGAACACACTGAACAGCTGTTTTTAATTATAAGTGTCTTCAACTCTGAATTATCATTCATATGTCCTAAAAATAAAGCTCCTTGTTAATTAAAATCAACTCATCCAATTTTCTAAAAATCCCCATGAAGGCAAATGTCTGAAGCAGCTTCCCCTGTCCCTTGGGGAAAGAATAAAACTAAATTGCTTTATTTCTCATTCGCGTCTACTCAACATGGGAGCGACATAGACACGCAAGGGCACATAAACAAGTTGAAAGAAGCAGAATTAGCCATATTAGCTGTAGTCAAATTATAGACGGATATCCAGTGAAAGACAACAGCTTTTTTTCCCGCAAGATAGACTTCAGCCAGTTTTTTCCTACAATTACTTCAGTTTTTCCTATAACACCTAACCTGTCAGGTCACACTCCTCCCATTCTGTATTAACCCAAAGAACTTAAAAACCCATTTTTTACCCAATCCACAGAAGAGCTAAATATTTGGGGTAATACCTAGGTCTAGTTTTTTGAGGAGGAGGTTTCTTGGTCTACAGAAAGATGCATTAAAAGCGGCATAAATGAAAAGGACTTGGAAAAGGTTAAGGAGTTAGTGCTCTGCTGAAGTGCCTTTGATATAGACTTGCTTTATTGGAAGGATAGGAGAACATCTTTCTTTAATGTGCATTTTCTTTGTTAGCCAAATTAAACAGATGTGCAGGTTTTAATTAAAAAATATAGACCTAGTGTTTCATGTTGGAACAATGAATTTTGCATGCAAGTAACATTTCTCTCTTTTGTGTGTTTCTTTGAATCCAGGTTATATTGATAAATTATGTTGTGCCGGAATGAAGTTAGAAACTATATAGTAAGATGTTGCACTTCAGTATCTTAAGTTTATATTTTCTCTACCTTTAAATAAAAATATTTCCTCTTTTAGTTTGGTAATGGAATACACATGTTGACATAATGGTGCACCATTGAAGTGTGCCACTTATTCATTCTTATGTAAAGGAAATGAGAAGACGTATCCCCAGGGGCTTTTCTAGAAATACCTTTTCTTTGGTTTCAGAAGAAAACCTTATTTTTTTTTGATACACTGCACATTCTGTTCTCAGTGGGGAAGTATAGGCAATTTACCTTTTCTAATGATCAAAAATGTGTAACTCCTCATTTTGAGTAGTTCACAAATTTCCTGTTAAAAAAGCTGAAGCCATCTACTTTTTCTTAACCCAAGTAATAATAAGCCTACAATAGTCACATCTTTCTTAAATTTTTAAATTGAAAACCAACACAGTTTTTTGCAAGTGTAACTCTAGAGAATTTTGATCACAAATTGTTAACATTTGTGTATCCTTTGTATATACTTTGGCTATATCTTAAAAGCAAAATTATCCCTCAATTAACTGATGGATTCGTTTATGAAAGCACAGCTGTGTGTATTTTTGAATACATATTATGATCTTGAGACTTTATAAAATCAATTTTTATGACATTTATGCAGTTTAGGGTTTATGCCCTTTTATATAATACACAGTATACCACGAAGGTCACAAATGTTGAGGAATAAAAGCACTTCTTTGCTTTGGCAATCATTTTCAGATCACTCTCTGTGTTTGAATCCTCTGATATCAATACATATAGAATTTTAGGAATCTGTGGGTCAAATAATGTCCCTCAAAATGTATTGACATTGTAAAGAATTTGACCATTTTAATTTCCATCTCAAACCTTAAGTTGACATTTTGCCCTCTTGTTTCCAAGTATTTCTATCTTTTGTATTTCAACAGAGAAATCTCACATTTCACTGTGTTTATTGCCATTATTACTATATTTACTGCTGAAAACTGTAACAATCTGAAGATTTGTAAAATGTTACACATAGTTCATTAAAGATAATAAATATAAAAATGTACTTGATTCACTCTTTAATTTTGGGTAAACTACAAAACATTTCTCCCTAAACTGTCATTTAATAATGAATAATAATTCAGTTATTACTTCACCCATTATTACACTCCCTATGGAACAATAAATATTATATATTTGAATACCATTTGGTTATATAATGAACTTGATTACTCTTTATATTTCATGTTTTCCATGTTCACGTTTTTACTGTTAAAGCTAAGTATAGAGAAATTATTTTTCCATTCAATGAGAAGAATTCTTAAGATTGTGTGATAGAGTATAAACTAAATTGCAGTACCCAAAATTCCTAAGTGAGAACAAGATACAATATCACCTCTCCACTTAAAAAATTATTTGGACTTTAAACGTAAGAGCAGATACAAGATACTAACACAAAGGTTGTTCACAATTAAGAGTGTTAGAACTTCAAGAGGTCTTCTGCTCACCTAGTTGAACCATACTTAAGTTCAGGCAGTTTGCACTTCGGGGTTTTAGTATGTATGATTTTTTTATATAACCTCTACACCCAGCATGGGGCTCAAATTTACAACCCTGAGATCAAGAGGCAAATTCTCTACTTACTGAGTCAGCCAGGGACACCTAGAATATCTTTTAGAATCCTTATCTTGGCTGCCATGTTTTCAGATATTTTGTATAACTTGTATAAATTAATATTGTAGTAGAAATACCTTTGGTTAGTTCTAATGGGAATTGGGCTCTGAATCCATTTACATTTATAGTGGAGATTATGACCCAGCACTATTGTTTGAGGTAGACACTTCCATTTGGATCCCTGCAGAGTATAAGCCAGGCTGTGGTTACCTTTTTTCCAAGGCCTGATCTCCCACTGGATAGTATAGAGTCTTAACAGAAATAATGCAGTTTCTGGAGGAGTCATGGAAGACCCAAGCTCACAGGGAATGGATTGTAATAGAAAATAGATTTCATAAATCACAAACATAGCTGCCAAACAGTTGATGTTCATGAGCTGGTCATCACAGGCTCATCTCAGGAGGGAAATTAATATGGGACGACTAGTATGTAAGAACTATAGGAGAGGTAGTTGGGTGAAGTTAGGTTAATCACTTCTGATAAATTCACTAAAAAAATCTCCTATCACAGGTGCCTGGGTGGCTCAGTCGGTTGAGAGTCCGACTTTGGCTCAGGTCATGATCTCGCTGTCTGTGAGTTCGAGCCCTGCGTTGGGCTCTGTGCTAACAGCTCAGAGCCTGGAGACTGCTTCGGATTCTGTGTTTCCCTCTCTCTCTGCCTCTCCCCTGCTAATGCTCTGTCTCTCTCTGTCAAAAATAAATAAACATTAAAAAAAATCTATCAGTACTTGATAATCGTGACAGCTAATTAAGGACGTTTCCCTAAACTACTTGCTGTTAATATAGTGCCCATTAAAATTATACCACAGTGTTCTTTTATACAGACTGCTTAAAATCACTTTTTGGCCTTCTTTTTATAGGTAGATTTCTCTATTATGGTTTACAGTGAAATAAACTAATTTTATCAGTAAGCTCTCTCTGAATCAATTGTGGGGTTAATTCAAGAACTCTGCTCTATTGTCCCTAGATTTGGATTTATTTGCTCCATCAAAATCCTTGATTTGCTTACTTTCTTTATCCTTTATTTTGAACCTGTGCTTATTTTAGGATTATGGACTTATGTCCATTGTTTTTTTTTTTTTTATAAAAACATTTTCAGAATTTGACTAGAAAAAAGTCATCTAGAAATAAACCATATTGATTTTAATCAATTTATAATGTTAAATACCAAAAAGGTAATAAAATCAATTCAAATGATAGAAAAACATTTTCACTTAATATATATGGCAATTTTCTTAGGGAAAAAGTTGTGATAATTATTTTCTTTCTAAATTAGATAAACTTAAGGATCATATTTTAAAATTACTTGAGTTGTTTATCAAAACATTGCAATGACACTTCTTTTCACTTTG